TCTCTCTCTCTCTCTCTCTCGTTAATATTCATCGTCGAAACTCATTTACCAAACACGTCAGAGTTCTCCGCGTTCGTCACCTCCTCCGAAATCAAAAGAAAAGGAAAACGGGAATGGGAATCGCCGTCTGGATGGAGGGGGAGGGTGGATTCATTTTCAGTCTGGAACGGGGGATTTAATAAAGTCTGTGTGGAGCAGGTGTCATTGGCGAGGCACAAAAAAAAAACGTGAAAACTGGTGGCAGAAGGTTTTCTCCAAACGTATCCTCGCGTTTACCCCCGCGTTCGGTTTGCACGAACAAAGCTCCGCATCGATAGAACTGTCCATCAATCCTCGAGCACCGTAATCTCGACATTTGTGCCTCGTTAGAAGTTGCGGAAGTACGGATAACTTTGAAAAGGAGGATTCGATCTCCTAATGAGGCGTATTAAAAATATTAACAATTTTGAATTATCCATGTTGAAATTATTAAACTGGAATAGATTAATAATTCGTACACGCGTGTGTAAAATGATGATTGTATCGATATTAATGGATTATTTACTCGATAGCCAAGTGATATGTATTTTATTAACCGTGGAAATTTCACAAATGAAATTTTTCTAATCTCAACTTGCGTGTAAGATTTGATCTTATGCGTTCTTGTAGGATAATCAGCAATCTACTATTCACTGCTGAAAGGAGGTCTCGTAGAATGGCACAGAGACAAGAAGAATTTAACATCACACGCTATATAATATTAGAAGAGTTATAATATTCGAATATTCAAAATTGTAAAAATTATTTTCATTTACGAAGTTAGGATATTTCGTCCAAGAAGCCGAAATATTTTCGAAACTATCTATAATATGTCTAGCTTATTAAAATTACAAATCATAATTAGCGTATTGAAAATTTTAGATACGTTGGAATTTTCTGGATTCTATGCGTACGCCAATTTAGATCGTCGTTTTGGATCAATGCACGTGACAAATAAGCGATAGGAAGAAAAATATTAAATTAATCAAACCAGATCCGCGAGACATCCACCAATAGAAGAATAGAATTGTTTTATAAAAGAAAAGGATTCGTTTGAGAGAAAATTGTATCATCTTTATTTTAATCGGATTATTAATCGGTTTCGTGGAACATCCTCACACGACTTTTTCTTCAGATCGATGAATAATCTATCGTATCGGATCGTTTCCTATTTCTATTCGGAAGTTGTCGTGAATTATTCATCCTTCCTTGCGCAAAACACGTTGGTGTTACATCGAACACCATCCATCGTAGCCTTTCTTATAAGCCTGTCTGATGTCATCGGCGTGGATCGTTTAGACGATTTCGCAAGTCGATTTTAATCGAGACCAATCAGGGCAATAACTGCGAAGCAACCAATGAACGATTACTTCGAAACGTTTCATCGGGGACCGCGTTCGAATTACCAGAAAATTACGCGATAATTAATCTAAACGATTTGATTAAAATTTTTCGAATTCTTTTTTATCCGAATAATAATCCAAATAAATTAAAATATTTCATCTTTTGAAATGGAAATAGCATCAAAAGTTTTTCCCGATTCGTGTAGAAATCTCACTGATTGAAATTTTCCATTGTTTCTTTATTTTCTCTCCAAAAGAAGATATGTACATTCTTCTATCATAGACGCGAGAAAAATGAAAGAAGCTCTTGAATTTTATGGAAGAAAAAACAATTAGTTCAAATCCCTTGATAGGCTTAAACCGAGCAACGAATATCGATAGGCTTAAAGCCCCCGAATTTCGAGTTTCGCCCATTATGAATTTTCGATGTGACGCCGTAAATTAATGTCCACCGTGCGTGGAACGAGTAGAATCATAAAAAAGAAAAAAGAGGAAATGTGGCAGATTGATATTACGCGACAACTCCCCGAAGATAAATTCGAGTTCCCCGGGGATGCGATCGATCAGGGGAGGATTAATGGCAAACGACTCGTTATCGACAAATCGGTTTGAATCGGTTTCGATTGCACTTTCTTCTATTCGAAATTTCGAACTCTTTTAAAAAAGAAGAATTTCGAAGGAAGCTCGATCGTTTCGTTCAAGAAAGTTGCGTTGGATTGAAATATCCGTAATATCGCGGATGGCCGAGATTCTTAATCCGAGTGAGAGACGGAACGGGACGGGGAGAGGGGATATAATATTCCCTTGATCGCATTTTGACCGATACAACCCCCGATATCTAAACGGTATGCGGTATAATTTACCGCATTGTTGGCAAGGTTTTCACGGAAGAATTTGCTTTCGGTTGTTGTCAGCTACGCCTCTCCCCTCGTACTCGATTCACCATGAAGTGTGGTGAATCGAATTTAGAGGCCGAAAAGCTCAGTCAAGGAGCATCGAGAGGCTATGGATAAAGGTAAACCACGTTAAATTTACAATAAATCCTGAACCACGTGGGGGAGCTTGAGAACGCGGAAAATTCAATTTCACGCGAATTTTAGTCGAAAAGAGCTTTGTTCGAACGCTTCTTTTTTATTTTTATTTATTTTTTCGAAATTTATCTCCAATCTTTTCAATTCTCTCAAAATTTTGTATCACGTGAAATCGTCGAAACCTATAATCTTTGACGAAAACGCATCGTTTCGATCATCATAAAAAAAAAGAAAAGAAAAGAAGAAGTCTTGTTAAAAACATATCCATCTTTAAATAAAGTTCGCGATTTCTCGCGGTTATTTCCGAGTAAACGATTCGAATGCGAATTTAATCCGAGCTCGGATCCAAAAGTTCGCGAAACAAACGGTGGTCGATGCCGTAAAGCCGCCGCTTTAACGCGGCTTACGATTTAAATCCCCGAGGCCGGCCTCAAATCGATGAAATATCGCCGCAAATTACGAGTCGGGACAAATTTGACGGCAGAAAATATTCGTCCCTCGCGGCGGATCCGAATAATTTCAAGAGAAATTTGACGGTGTAGCAGCAGCGCGCCTATTATTATCGAAACGTTTGGAAAGAAATCGGACACATTTTATATTACCCTTCTTTCTTTCTTATTAATTTCCTCCTTGCGTGGATATTTTTCGCGATAAATTAATAATATATTGAATAATCTGGATGTTCTTTACCGTTACAGATTACCAGACCAGATTCGTTCCTGACGAATTGGTTTTATTCAACGCGTCGAATTATTGGTTGAAGATAACGCGAAAGTTGCGAGTTTTTATTATTATTATCGCGATTGATAAAGCGGTGATCGCCTCGACGAGTAATATGATAAGAAGATGACGTCATTGGTACAGAGGGATGCGGCGCCAACGCGGAAGAGGGAATCCACCGGCAGCAATGCTTCCAGTTATCTGATGGTGAGTTTGAGAAAAATCGATCGTCCGATTTTCCCTCCATCTTCCCGTAACGAAACCCGATTCATCTCCATCGAGGTCCCCCAAATTTGGCAACGAAATGATCGCAGGAACGTAGGAAACCGGTTACCCGAAATCATGTCGGGAAACATTTCTCTATCAAGTTTAATCCCGTGG